CGGTCTGTCTCCTGATCCATTTCTGGTTCTACTCTTTCTATTTTGCGTGATAATAGAAGCTTTCTGATGAACTCGATCCGTGATATTGAAAATGTGTACCTGCAATCCGTTATCAATAGACGTTAACACTCCTTATTCATGCTTGAAGTGTGATCAGTCATACATTCACTGCATTTTAGCGGTACTGCTTCATGCCATTGCAAATATGCCGTGATTGTGTGAGTCTGGCGTCAAAAGCACTGTGTTATTACGCAGTTACAACTCTGTTTTTCTTCAAAACAAACTCTCACTACTCTCTATGGCAAATATGATTTTACATCTTTCTACGAACAGAATACAAATCATGCCCAGCACAGCTGTTATTTCTTTCATCACACATTCTTCATTGACTTTCACCACAAAATCGTCTATAACTTGTATGCCATTCAGTAAAAATGCTTTACAACTGCATGGCAACACCATTCTCCCTTTAGTTTCAAAATTGAGAGTATATAGTTTTGCTAGGTTGTCTTCTAATTCACTTCTTCTCCAATAATCGAATACCTGCAACAAAGCACAACTTCCCCAGCTGACAGCGAACCAATACTGAACTGAGTATCGCAGAACCAGAGAACAAGTCTCTGAAATGCAATATTCGTGACAATATCATCTTTGAACAATCTTGATATACCGGCATTCACTATTTTCTTGAAGATATCAGCCCAGCGACTGCTAGTTTCTCCAGCTGTAATCGTAGACACAGTTGCGTAAATCAATGTTCATTGTTGGCAGAGCATTTCTGAACTACTCATTACGTACTTAGTCCCATACAAGCTCTATATTATATATATTGCTGGCAAAGTAATTGACTAGTAGCATGTTATTCGTTCTTTGCGTTTCCCTCATACTGCTACAAATATTTACGCTTCCCTCACTGTTACACTGTATTGCCCTCTCTGTCACAAAACCATACAATGAACATCCCTCTAACCCTATACACAATATGTGAATAGATATGTCTGTTCATTCATGCTCCGTATTCTGCAGATAGTACCGAAGAAAGATATGTAGGAAGCCACGTGATAGGAGCACGACCATGGATGCATCCGAATTTCTGTTACTTTCGTACCCGTCAATTACCCTCGCGATGCCTCAATAAACAGCTCATTCTTTCAAACAATTGCTTCAGACACAAAACATGATCAACTCGTACCCATATTCGTTCTTTGTCGTTTGAGTGATGCAGAACTTTCATTTCTATCTGATTTCTGTAAGCTAATCCAAAACTACCCGTTACTGTTTCGTTATTTCTTTTACACGCAATCTTATCTTTTACATCCAGTTTTCCTGGCTGAGTGCGAAGATTTTGAGAAAGATTGATTGGTGTGCCTTTCACGAGAATGTTCACCTGATCAAATTTGATTATATATCATTGCTTGTATTCATCACCGGCTCCTTTTCAAATTATAATGCGTACGGAATGACTAAATCAGTGTTTGGCGAGAATGTGTGTTGTATGAAAGTCTTTTTTGGCTATTTATATCCATGAAAAAGTAATATTATGTCAAAGATGGAACAAACATGGTGACTATTAGGATGATATTGTATTCAATTTATGTTATGACCACTGCAGTTTGCGGATAGGATGCTTTCATTGCGTTACAAGTAAGCTGCGATATTTATCGCATTGGTTGGATGCCCATGTTATCTAGCTTTTGTTCCAAATTAACGCGCTCATCAGATCATCATATTTCATTGCATACCATTTCCGCAAAACACCAATAGCATATCAGTCGTTAGCTCTTCTTGATTTACTATTTCGACATATCCAAAATACCCCAAATTGATTTACTCTTCGACTTTTGTCAACCAATATTAAATTAGTCATTATTTGCACTTGTCTTAGTATTGAGCATTTCAAAACGCTAAAATTATTCGAACCTTTCAGGTTGCATGCCATTTGTCGACAAAAATATTTGAAAACATCTAACCTATGATTCATCTAAACAAGAAAATGGTGCTCGTGCTAATATATTTACCAAAAATTGCGTTTATTTGCTAGTTTTGGAATTACGGATTTTGATATGTATAATATTGCATTTACCGCGTCAGTTTATGCATTGCTTGCATATTAATTTAATTGGAAGTACGTTTTATACGAACAAAGAACGAGAGTCAAATAGTAACCGATCCGATACCATATTCTCTTAATATTCTGCAGATAATCAAAACCATATTTGCTCATGGATATATTTCAGCATGCACCTCAAGTAAAACTTTTTAACTTCGTTATGTGATGTATTCATTACTATAGTACTTTATTTTGGAACATTATCTTCTTCGTCCAAGTTCCCAGATATTACTGATATCTTGTCTTAATGAGACGGTTTGATTTTTGCATCATCACCAATCAAAAAAATGGCCAGAAAATTAACTGGCTGTTCAGTAAAAATCGAATGTTCTTTTTTGGAAAAATTAAGGATTAGATGATCGAATCTAACAGTTCATTTCCTGTTATATTTCCCACTTTTTTCTATAGATTAGATATAAAAAAATGATCTCTGCCGAATACTAAATGTCCTTTGTGAAAAATGCAAAACATGGGATGGAAAAAAACATAAGCATCTTGTCCAAGAACCACAAAGTTTTGATGTTTGATAAAATCTTCGTTCTGCTCTATAAAGATAATTAGCGCTAAACATGCATTTTAGCTGATTTATCTTTCATTTTTGTCCGCTATTCATAGATACTGCCACGTATTGAAAATAACTTTCCAAAATATAGGCTTATATCGTTGATCCAAGCATCTACCATATTCATCACACTGAAATTTGACCCTCATTCTCTCTTATTTGAAAATTCAAGTATATTGAAACTCAATAACATGATATTTCGGTGTAATGAACACATGATAATTCATTTAACAACATGTTGGATCCATGTGAGATAAAAAATCAAGGCTACATGGTATGCACGTTTTTTCTAAATGTCAAACATGTCTAATTATTGCAGAAAAAATACCCGAGATAGAATTAAATTTATTCTATCCCATAAAAAGAAGTATTTTTTCGTAGTTTCATATATGGGAATATGATTCGAACGGTAGTATCATGTTTTTTTAAAAAGTCGCAGTCTGCTTTGTATCATTTATGTATTTTCACAATTTTTTGAATCGATATATGACCGCACTTATAAGAATTTATTGGTTCGGACCCCTCGATGTCTCCTTTTTTAGTTGGTTATTTCAATCTTATGAAAAGCGTTCTCGGATCGGGTCTAGTAACGTATCCATACTTATTCACCATCAACGGTGTCGTTCCCACTGTGATACTGACACTTATAAGCGCGTTCTTTTCAGCACAGGGACTTTTGATATATTTAAAGCTGAATCACATGAAGAACAAAACAATGTCTACGCTCACCGACAGCAAACGCATTAAGCTGTTCGTCAATACAATTATTGTAATGAAATGTGTGTCTGTCACACTCTCCTACGTCGTTATGATTCGGGAAATTTTTCACAATATCTGTGATAGAGTCAATGTACACTGCCCAAATGTTTTATTTATTGCATTTGTGCTTGTAACAATGCCTATTTCTACGTTCAAACAGTTCAGCAAGCTTAGATTTACCTCGTTTCTTGGCATAGTGGCCACTTGCATTATGGTGCTTGCCACGTTATGGAGACTTTATAGCAAACAACCGCAGGGAAGCATTGCATTATACAAGAAAATTGATTACAACACCTTGGGAAGCTACGTTTATACATTTACGTGCCATCAAAACATTTTTTCCTTCCAGAATGAGTGTTTTATGAGTTTGAACCAGTGTTATAGCGTGATATTGTGCACAGTAGCGAGCTGCATTTTGCTTTATTTCGTGTTTGGGCTATCTAACGCGTATCTTTTTAGCATCGGGCCAAAGTTTTTTGATAGTCTTTACGATGACAAGATTACGCTTGTTATGCAGGCATGTTTTCTTGTCATGGTTACTTTTTCTATTCCGTTACAGCTGAATGCCGCGCAGCTGTACCTCAACATAACCGCGTCCAGGTATCGGATGGCATTCGTATCCACAGTCGTAATCATTTCTATTGCAATAGCTTTGTTGGAAATAAGCTTTAACACAATATTGTCTCTGATTGGCGGCACAGTCTCATCGCTGATGTGTTTTATAATTTCGGGCTTTTATTACATTCTTATCGGGGACAGAAAAAATAAACTGTGGTTCTTTAATGCCGTCTTTACGCTAATCTTCGGTATTCTTATACTAGCCGCGACTGCTTACACGATGTTTGCATTGGTGATGCGTAAATTATAGTGGGATGTGAATGGTTGGAGTAGAATATTTTTTGGTGCGGGTGGTTTTCATGATTAAGCAGAACGCGGATACAAAGTGTGTTTGTTCGAGTACGTAGACAATAAATGATATTTGTTACTGGAAAACAGAAATTCGAGGATCAACTGGTGATTCATCACATTGTTTCCTGAATTCAATCGTGTGTTCAAGTGCTGTAGAGTATCATTATGAAATACGAGACAAAATTACGTGGTATAGTATCAGATATCGATTTGAGTAAAATTGTTTTTGCTGGAACCATGTGTTGTGTGTCCTGAAATGGTGTTCATCAGCTCTTTAACAATTTATGTGATCGTTCGTGTTTCTAAGAGAATGGCAAAAAATAGTCAGAATGGTGGAATGTTTTCTTGTTTCTGGAAGCGTATAGCGCGGGTAGCACTAAATTACATGCTTAACAATACAAGATTACTTTTTTTGTGCATTCTAACTAAATAGAACGATACATGCTATCAACACTCCTGAAACCTACAAAATGTACCATCGTTGTACAAAAGTACGTTAAATAAGCTTTATTCCATTTCAAACATCCTACCAAAATGCACACACAATCTGTATCATCCGACAATATTTATATCTCCCTTTTCAACAAAATAGAATTAATGTAAAAACAGTCAAATATTCGTATCCAAGGATTGCTTAGGAATTGTTTCCCTTGCATTTTCTGAATTTTCGTTTGATTATATGTACCGACGCCGAATTAGATTACTGCTCGGGTGGGCGGATCAGATTAAGATAGATTACACTTCTGGATTCCCGCTAGATCCACAAATACGTGGTTTATTCCACTGAACTGTTGTGTGTTAAATTATATCAAACTAGCATCAAGCACCAATGAACTTGTTAATTACATTTACTCTTATTTGCACTTGTCAATTGTTTGCCGCTGTAGTGAAACAAAATTTAACTGTCGCGGCTCAAACCCTCAACCAAAGTACGCTGAGTAAATATGTTCTCTTTGTTTTTTACAAACTGAACTAGTTGTTATCGATTCAAAATGCTTTATATTTTCAAAAATTTTTGGAAACAAACCTGAAATTCATGAGAAAAAAACAATCTTTGTCCAACCATAACATTAATTCAGTAATACAATTTTACGCTTCAGCTGAAGTGTGAAAATGTGTGGAAATTACTAAGAAACAGGCCTGCAACAAAATGACTACTGTCTACACACATTCAGCAATTCAAGTGGTATATGAATATATATCGTGCTGGTATCATAAATCTGGTTCATTGTGCAAATGTTCTCGCTTAGAATCACTAATTTACCTTGTAAAAATTGTTGTAAAACACAGCTACATCAGTAATTAATAAGAAAGACAGTATGTTTTGACATTTCATTGGCAAATACGGATCATCATGGCTCGAGAGATGCACCGAGCTTGTGAAACATATTCAAAGAAGAAAATTTATTCAACTGCAACATACAGCTTCTTGATCATTCTTGTGGCCAATCAATTTAGACAGGGATGGTTTGCAAGCCAAATAAACATTTATTGTTATATTCCAACCAATTATCTTCAAGCGATAACATTTATTGTTGTATTTCAACCAATAAGCTTCAAGCGATAGTAACCTATTATTGCTATGATAAGCACCAAATCATCAACCTGGTCATATGATGCACTCGATCTTAGTCGTATCAATCAAGGTTGGGATGACCAAAAAATATTTACAATCAGCATGCACGTTTCAAACTATCTAAGCCTCTGTTTAAGTCATTGAACATTTGGTGATAATGTAATTCTATTGTACAAGATTATATCATTATACGCTTCGATCCTATTTCTTTATCAGCAAGACATCCCGCGGCAGATTGTAAATTTAATCTGTACCAAATAGTCTAAATTCCTAAATTATCCGATTTGTGATAGATATCTCCAATTACGTCATACTGTACGTGCCGTCCATTCTCTACAACCATTGTTCCTGCGTATTTTGTGCTATACAATTATCTCTATCTGCTAAAAACTATTTTTATTTGTCCAAAACTGTTTTTATCTGCTAACAAACCGTTTTCATCTGCTGATAAACTATTTTTATTTATTTTTTACGGATGATGTGTTTGCTGATAAATTATGGGCCGTCAAGGACTCATTAATAGGTATTTTGATGGCAACTGTTATTCTTTGCGGTCAATTTCCACCAATCATTGATGTGTATTAATCAGAAACAACCCCTTTAACAATATATAAAAAGAAAGAAAACAGCGAAGTTATGGGAAAAGAAGAGTTAAGAAAGACAGCATTAGAGTTGGTGCGTAACGGCAAGGGCATTCTGGCAATCGATGAAAGCCCTAATAGCATTCAGCAGAAGTTCGAGAATTACAACATAAGCAATACAGCCGAAAATAGACGCAGGTTCAGGAACATGCTTATTGAGACAGAAGGCATTGAAAAGTACATAAGCGGTGTGATTTTGCACACAGAAACGTTTGAACAGCGAAATGAAAAAAACAACTTATTCGTGGACAGCCTTTTGAGCAGAGGTATTATGCCCGGGATTAAGTTGGATCAGGGGCTCGTAAAGATTGACTACGATGATGTGAAAATTAAAGTCCAGAAAAAGGCCAAAGAAATGGAAGAGAACGTGCCCGCTGATGTGAAGAGCTCAGTCAAAAATGCAGGTGATAAGGTGGTTGATTTTATGAAGCAGCACAGCGAGTACGCAAAAGCGAAAGTGGAAGAGCAGGAACGGCCGCTAACCGAGGAAGAGAAGGCTAAGAATAGAGTTAAATATGGTGATTATATAAAAAGATCCTCAAGTGACAACGCAGAAGAGAGATATCATGAGCAGATTTCGAAGGGACTGGAAGACTTGGAAAAGACTTTGGCCAGCCAAAAGTATAAGAAGGCGAAATTTGCGAAGTGGAGGTCCGTTTTCACAATCACCTATAGGACGCCAACTTTCGAGGCTATAGACAAGAACTGCGATGTACTCGCAAAATACGCGCAGCTGTGTCTATTACACGAACTTGTTCCGATTGTTGAACCGGAGATTCTATTTGAGGGCCAATTTACCATAGAAGCACATTATAGAGTGCTCAAGTACGTTTTAAGCCTCTTGGTCAACAAGTTGAACTATTACAACGTTGATTTGACCTGTGTGTTGTTCAAAATAGGGTTTGTAACCGATGGAAAGGACAGAGCATCAGTTGATAAGAACAGTACGACCATGTTCACGCAGGAGGCAATAATGAGCAGCATTCCACCCCAGGTACCTGGTATTGTGTTTTTAAGTGGCGGACACACATATGAGGACGCGATCGACTATCTTAAGATGATCAGCAACCTCGATTTGAAAATGAATTTGACATATTCTTACGGCAGAGCGCTTACCAGCCATGCGATGCAGAAGTGGAACGGAAATGACAACAATATGGAAGAGGCAAGAAAGGCCTTTATTGAGGATTGCCAGATATGCAGTGAGGCGTCAAAGCAGCGAAGTATGGTAGGACAAGGTTAACTCGCCACTTGCATCTATGTGAACCGATGAGCGTTCATGGCAAAAAAAGTAAAGTTTTAGTTTTTTACGATATCTAAAGCGAGGTAATACTCGTGTTCAAGACAACCGGCATGCTGTATTAGTCTAAATGCATCAATGCGGTTATGTGGTGCTGATAGTTCATCTTTTATCGTACGAGCTCAAAATGCATCAATGCGGTTATGTGGTGCTGATCATTCATCTTTTATCGTACGAGCTCAAAATGCATCAATGCGGTTATGTGGTGCTGATAGTTCATCTTTTATCGTACGAGCTCAAAATGCATCAATGCGGTTATGTGGTGCTGATAGTTCATCTTTTATCGTACGAGCTCAAAATGCATCAATGCGGTTATGTGGTGCTGATCATTCATCTTTTATCGTACGAGCTCAAATGCAAAAAGAAAGAAAATTAATTTCTACTGAAAATCAAAGCAGTACCACCAAACATAAAGCCGTTGGTATCTACCAGTTGTTTTTATCTAACTAATCACACTCAAATCAAAGCAATACCACCCAAGACCAACTACTCAGTACTTCTGAACGGTATTAAACGTTAGGCAAACTCTCTACCGCATATTTTCTAGCATTTATGTATAATATTGGTACACCAGGTATTCGCCTAATCCTTCTCTTCAGATCCGCATCGCATGTTGCAACGATATAACACCTATTGGGCGTGATTCTGTCCATGATACAGTCATCTGCGTACGTGCCCTTATGGTCACAAATAAGCACTTGGTGTTTCAGCTTCCGTGCTGCCATGAGTGCTACTCTGTACTTCAGTCCCATCTTTTCTATCTCGGCAAAAACACACTCTGGCACGCAAATTTTCACGTTACTGAACAAAACCCTCATTAGCTCGGTCTCGATGTCCATTCTTTTCCGAACACTGTGCAAAATAAAATTGGTATCCATCAATATATTGTAGGGCGGTGCCAAATTATGATTAATCCTGAAGTACTCATCAAATTTTGGCTCATCATTTTCTATCACGCTCACATCTTTTTCACTGTGCCTGCTTTTCTCGCTTATGTTCAAAACTTTTGGCACTCTGCAAAATTTTCTCTTGATCTTCATAAGGGCAAATAATCCACGGGCCGATATAATAAACGTACTTTTAGTGAAAAGAAAAAATCTGTGAACTTTGTATGAGCGGTGGATCAGACAAAATCTTTACTCCGAAAAAAATACAGTTACAGGAGAATGTCCCCTATTTAAAACGATTTATTATCGAGACCAAATGTTAGTTCTTCATTACTGTTCATAAATACATTCCATACACACTTTGCATGCCATACATTTTTATCTTTTAACACATTTTTACCCGTGCACTCCATCATTTTTCCATACCAACGTTTGTTCTGTCTCATTCCGATGAGCAGTGAAATCTCAGAAGAAACACGATGTAAGAACCACCCTATGCGAAGAAAAGTGCTTGAAAACAATATGCACAACAGTTTGGTGACCGTATTAATCGCAAAAGCAACTTTCTGCATTATACACACTCGTAAATTTCTAAACAGAATCGTGAATGTTTGTGCGATTCACGTCCATTCGATCCGCAAAAGTAGGTGGGCCTGAGGTGTTTTTGTTATGTGCACACATACTTCTTAAAAATATATCAATTCTTTTAATCATCACATCATTGATGACAACGTCCCAGTCATGGAAAACTTCTCTCAGCACCCGCGCGTAGATATAAAAAATAAAGCAAAAACCACTTAAATTTCGAGTGATCACCAATTAAATTCTTGTTCTATCAAAATAATGAATGTCCTATGATATGAACGGATCAAAGCACTAAACGATGAAAATTGCGGTTCTTTCATGCACGAACGCAGAAATGGTGCTTACAACAACCGCAGTCTATCCGGCAATAGATTGATCAGAGAGGCTGAAAGTAGTGCGTTAACAAAAAAGGAGACAAATATACTCGCAGTTCCAGGCGCATTCTTTTCTGTCCAATGTTCCCTTCCCATTTCCTTGGCGAATTATTGCACCGCTATACTCGCTTGCTCTAATTCGTAGAAATAATTAAACTCTGGTCCCAGATAATTTCTTACGGAAGAACAATCGCTGTATATCGTTTGGTTGTCTGTGACAGGTCACTATGTCAACCATGTCCTAAGGTTGTCTTCATCATGCCGAGTTCATGGCATCGCAACGGAACATCGGTGTGCTAATCATCAAACATGCTCAATACGTTTTAGATCATCGTTTAGATGACCACTACAAATAAACTTATCTGGGAACAATTTGCGATAATTTTGCTGCTCGTCAAGGACTGCGAATAGCCTGCCAGACATCATGAAAGCTGAAGAAATGTTTGGGTTCTTCAAACAGAAAAATTATACGCAGAAGGCAACAATTTATACTTACGTTTTAGACCAATGCATGTATCTGAAAAGTGGCACAGCCTATAGTCTTTCGCACAATTCATTACTTTTGGCCACATGATAATGTTTCCTTATCCATGCTTCACTATCTGATTGGCAAGCAAAAAGGAGATCAACATTTTATTGATTATTCCCATTCTTTCCGTGTTTTGATTCGTCGACGCCAAAACAATATAAATCCGATTCTCTCACGTGCTGTCCATTGCTTTAATGGAGAAGCAAATATCTTCCTTGGTCGTTAAGAAGAACCTAACCGACTATGAGCTGGCGTTTAAAAGCAATAATATGATGGCCAAGTTGAAATTTATCTACAGGATACTGAGGAAAATTGAAGATAACCGTGAGAACTTATGTCATATAATGGGCATATCCGATCCGGCTCAGGCGGGAAAAAAGAATGGCAAGAGGGACGAACCGAATGAGATGGAGAAAACATGCTTGGAAGTCTTAAGAAACGTAATCAAAGGACGGGGAGGAAATGACACGCCCGAAAAGGAGCTGGGCCTGGCCTATGCTTACATGGGAATAGCCTATGAAATTGGTGCATTCGGACTGGTAATAAACTACAAAAAAGCATACGAAAATTATATCTGTGCTCTCAAAAGGAACCACGGAATGGGTGCCTTTCGACTGGCCGTGATGTTTGAGAAAGGTATTCATACGAAGCGATCGCTTACCAAAGCGTTCACGTACTACAGGTGTGCAGCAAAAATGGGTCTGTCGGAGGGAATGCATGCCTATGGAATGATCCTGTACTATTGTGAGGATGAAGACATGCGTGACTGTCGCACAGGCTTTCACTACATCAAACTCGCGATGGTCAACGCCAGTCCAGAATATCCACATCCTTATTTCGATTTAGGAAGAATATACGAGACCGGGAACGCTGCGCTAGATCTTTACAAAGATTGTCAATATGCATACAAGATATACGTCCGAGGTGCATCCTTCGGCTGTCCGAACTGTTGCTACAGGTTGGGCAGGAGCCACGAGTTTGGAGAATTGAACCGATCAAAAAGTTGGAGGGAAGCTATTTGGTGGTACAAGAAAGCGGCCGAGCTGGGACAGGTTGATGCACAGATGGCATTGTCAACGTTCTACATAACCGGTATTGACAGGGTTTTGGATGTAAACTATGAGGAAGCATACCAATGGACGTTGAAAGCAGCTGTGGGCGGACACGCCGGAGCAGCGTATAGCCTTGGTGGATACATAGAGAAGGGTATAGGAATAAAGAAGGACCCGGCACATGCTCTCTGGTGGTATTCGATCTCAGGCCTATTCGGGAACAAAAATGCGAAGTACAAGATCGAGCAGCTCTCCAATGATGTGTACATGAATTCCACGAGAAAAAAACGGTGGTGGTTTCTGCCCTGTTAATGCTGATAGACCTCATCGCTCGCTGCTTTGCTAAATTATTTTTAAAATTTTTCTCATTGTTGCTGTTTTTATCCGTAACATGATCTTAATAAATAACATACACATTAATTGCTTTAATCTCTGGTGTTGATTTACAAATGCATGGAATCTAGCATTTCTAGTTCCTGCCAGCAAGAGGCTTGTCCATAGATGCGATCACCTACAGGGTTCCTCGTATACACCGATCACTCATAAATCAATGCGTGCACGAAGTACGGAACGCTTAAACACCCGATCAAATGCCACTCTGCGTTCACAGAATCGCTACCGTTGCGGACAGTTCCCAAAAAATTGATGTGCCATCTTGTTTTTCGCAGAGATAATCATTACCGCGGTTAAGCACAACCCGTCATCTTATCAGGCAATTTCGACGTGCTGACGGTAGCAAAAGAGGATATTCGTTGTTTCAACCTATTTTGGGTATCTCTGATACAAATACCTTGCTTTGCAGGCTAATACTTCCATCTCACGGGCATTCAAAGACACCTTAACGCTGTTAACCTGAAATGTGAACGGTAAGCACGACGAACAGAAATATAAGTTGCATTTATACAGCAGAGCAGAGGATAAAACATGCACTGGTCAAGTTGACATGGTAAAGGTATGCGCATCATACACGTGATGGTCTGTCCAATGATCAAGGTACGGATAACACGATAAAACGATGTATAAGATCAAAAAACGATGCGCTTGCATCCAGAGCTTTATCCATGTACCGAATAACTGGCTTAAAACTTGCAAGTTGCTTCAGTGTGGATGTTCACAGTGAACAATTTGTTCAGGGAAATGTGCCTTTGGTACCATTTTAATGATTTACCTCATAATTATGAAGCGTTGCAGACACTTAGACAGAAAATCTAGCCAAAACAACGTTTTGATGATAAAATTTTGTTTTGTGCCAGTAAAAAACACATGTTCTATCTGATTTGCCAATTAGGCCGCGAGAATAGCAGACTGGCCCTATATTTATGTCATTGCAGTTTGCTTATGTATTGGATATAACGAGATTACCGTGTTGCTGAGAGAGCCTTCGGCCTTTGCCAACCTACTTGCATGTACCAATACCCACCGATCCGCACCACCAACACATCAATCGAGTAATTATCCTCTATTACTTCTCTAAACAACTCTCACAGTCAAAGTAACGCTGCCACAAACTTAGTTCTTACAATAACTAGGAAATCGTTCCAATTGCTAAATTCATAAAGGAGCTGATGAAATTGATCATCCACGATCAAGAAGCATTTAAAGGAGCAGGTGCTTGCAACACAGAGTGCACCGTTGGTTTATTATCGAATTAGAGGATGGCAGGAGAAGCAACCAATATTTGCTGTTAGTACGGAATCGAAACAAATTTGTGAATCTACTGAAGTTGATGTGAATGTATGAATTAAATGTTTTCAAACGAATTGTTATCAGCGTGTACCAATGCACTATAAAATGGCAAATCTACGTATTTTTTTACATGCGAGCAAATAACCGGTCAAGAGAATATTATTGTGAAAGCTATCAGCAAAATACTCGGTTTCTGCCAACAGTACCTAAAATTGTTGCCTCTAATGTGCATTTGCGATAGATTCTATGTTATTCATGGGTAGAAAAGTCCGGACATTATTGTTGTTTGTACCGTAGAACAGTCCACTCATCCTGTTTGTACCTAACTCGCAGATTTTGAACAAAGTCCTGGTGTTCTAAGACATTACAGCGATAAAATACGTGCTACTAAATAAACACGCGGTAGAATAAAACTCGTTTCCAAAGCACCAAAGATGTTGGCAGTGATGAATTAAACGTATTTCCTCCTTAATTTATAATCTGAGTGTTCTCCCTGTAAAGTTTCGTGTCCTCCAAATACCTAGGTGCGTGACATAGGCTGCTCCTTTGGTGTGTATGATAGAAATACAATAATTAGTACGAATGCAACAAGCGTAATGAATGTGTATTATAATAACTTTTTTATTCAATCTATACTAATCCAACTCTACCAGAATCACACCTGTTCCTCGCCCTCTTGCTTTGTCTTAGGCATTCCATTCTCATCGTATTCACCGCTTTCCAGTCTTTCCTGGAAGATAGCAAGATAGTAAACAAAGCACAAGTCAATGAGCACACACGAGGCTAAATAAACAATGGACATGACGATAATATACCAGGCACCCAGCTTCTGCGCAAAACAGAAGATGAGCACGCCTAGCAACTTCACTGCCTTCAGCCCCAGAAATACCTTGAAAAGACTGAAAAGGCGCCCGAAAAAGAATATTGCATCGATCACGATGCCACCCACACCAAAAATTAGAATCATGAATTTTGCGGTAGTCAGAAGAATTTCCCTCCACCTTGACCCAATGTTAATTCTCGTCGCCGACACGATGACATACAGGCCTATTGTCATGATTGCATTCAAAAGCAGCGTACACTTGATAATATCTTTAAATGTTAAGTTATCCAAAGATGTAGGAATATGCTGACCAACCTTGCCCTTCTCTGCTTTTTTGACCGACTCCTTAACTTTCTGCTCAGCTTTGTCCGATTTTTCCTTTACCGTGTCCTTTACTTCAGCCGCTTTCTCTTTTACCTTCTCTGTATTTGGTTCTGCCATTTTTAAGGAGATAGGATGTTTTTCTTAAAAAACAAAAAATTTGCTCCTTTTCAAAGTTGAACTGATAAATTAAAACGTAGCACAAATTTTGAGCTGATCATGAATTAACCAAACAAAAAGAGCTCGACCAAGAGAACACCATTTCATAGATTAAGCAACGTAATTAAATCTGGTCCTGTAAAAAGAGGCGTACGCTTTGCCATAGAAGAGCAAATCCTTGCAAAAAACGAAGTAGTTCTGGATGGTGCACATTCCAAACAAGCGTGGTACACCCAATGCATCATTTTCACAACATGAAAGGGGGCACACAGCCCGCGAACTGTCACTTTGTTCTCGCTATCCGTTACGTAAGGTTGTTGCAACAAAGCCTTCCTGAGCATTCTCAAACAGCTTGTTTCTAAATGACGCCGCAAACCTTCATCATTTGTGCCTGTAATTAAAACAAATAACCATCAACGGGGTGATGACTTAGTGATTCAGGGTCTTTTACCATTTTATGGATGATATTTAACGCGTACATGATTGTCCTTCAGGTGGCGAGGAGTGGAGGAACGGTAATTCTGCCACTAGGGATGTGCCACGCGAACCGAAAGCAAGTTCAGACTATGGTAAGATTAGATGACCGTAACAGACATTTACGGGTTGCTGTGATGTGAAAATCAGAATGAACGTGTTTTTGTGCACACAATCTCAAGATGGTTTATGTTAATTTTGCTTGTCTTCGCATTCGATAGCTGTGTCATTCGTTTGTTTTGCACGCATCATAAAACATGAAGGGCGACGTGACGGCAACCTCCTCAGCACTTTTTTTCCTGTACTTCAGCAACGTCCCACATCCCTTCGTGTAATTCCTCTTTTCAATTTCGCTAAATACCGCATCCTCTATGTCCTGAAAGCCATTTTCGTCGAGATATTCCTTTACGACCGATTTGGACGTAAACGGGCAAGCACCCATGGCTACAACCTGTGGACACGTATAACACGAATAACTGGCCCTTTTGCCCTCCAATCCATAGTTGTGTCGTACCACGTACACAAACTCTCTGTCAAAGCGTACAGGATCACACGCAAAATTATTCCTAAGGAATTCTACACAGTCATCCACGGGTAGTCCGCACTCCTTCAAATAGCGTATTAATATCTGCCGGTCGTTGTATTTCAGATGCCTGTCACATCTCATCCGCTTGGTTATCAGGCCGATGCATGGCGGAGCACACTCTAACATGCTTTTGAGCTGCCCCGTACTCTTCTGGGGCGTTGAAAAGAAGTCAATCGCAAGGTTACCGAATCGCTCATCGTTCCGCAGACAGGTATTTGCTTTTAAGCTGTCTATCCTTTCTTGGAGGTACTCGCGGAACTCGTTTGCCAGTATTGCGACCATGTTTGCATCCTGCAGAACGAAATATCCCATTTTCAATTTTACCCTGCAATCACGCACCAGCTCGGGTGCCCGCGAGAAGTACACGTGAATAGTGTGGTAGTCCGTCGCAGAGTTCACAATTTCCTCATTCGGAGCAAATTTTGTACCGTCCTCTATGAAAACATCCTTCTCATCGACCTGCAGGTTCTTGGCTCTCTTGAGGTATTTTGTGTAGAAAAAGTTTTTTATCTCCGACAGGTTGTACGTGGCAAGCCGTGTTCTGAACAGCTTGGTTTCCATGGCGATGAACCACTGGGATGCCCATGGCACCGAACAGGTGATCAACCTGCATAGGAAATGCGACAGCTCATCCTCTCTTGGCGCCAAATCCATGATACGGTGATCATTGATGGTTTCTATTGATTTAAGGATCGACAGGCGTTTCTTAGTAAGTTTTATAAGCTCAGGATAACCAACGGTGGGTGTGTGCAGTTCTGTGTAGAACGATACTCTGCAAGGAAACTCGTCCTTCTGTATTTTCTGCATGGTGCTTTGGAGGGTCCTCGAAAATATTTGAGTTTTCCGCCGAGCCGTATCGAACGATTAACGGTGTTGGTACCGGCAAGTCGAACTAAGAGCGAGTCATTCCTAAATGTGAGGTTAATTGCGGTCATGTGCTGCACTAGAACGTGTTTCCTAGCACCATCTACGTTCACGTTGTGGTATTAAACCGTTCTACAGGGTAAAACAGGTTTTATATTGCATTTAGGGCGCGCACACCCTTCAAAGCTTGCAAGAGACAACTGCTGCTCGCGTTACCTGACTCTTGTCCAAGCAACCACAGTTCAAACACACGCTGCACCATCGAGAAGAACCTGTTCAAAGGCTGCACACCAGCAGCAAAGCATTTTTGCGATCACAGAGTGATAGGAACAGAGAAGGCACTGCAAGACATTCTCATGAAAATGGTGCAGTAAATTGTTATATTTTCAGGTCATCGTGGATAGCATTACTAAATTCATCACCTCTCGTAGCAGCACGAAACAAATTATCCTTGCTATGTAACAAAGCGGTCCATGACGAACGTTAGAATTGAGCTGACACGATCGTAAAACTATGGCAGAGAGGTGCGTTTAGAGAAGGGCATATTGTGAAAGTGGTATAGAAGTAAATAAACATGCTTTTTAACAAGGAAGGTATCTGATGTACGTTAGTACGTGTTCTATATTTGGACGGTATATCGTTTACCAGGTGTTTTTGATCCATCGAGCGCATGTCTGTGGCAGTCTGGTGGATGTCTTTTTGGACATGGACCGTTTGCTATTGCAGGAAATTCGCTATTGATTGGTTACTCCCGTATTTTGAACAGCACCAGCTTTTCTGTGACAGAGCAAAACGGATTTACGGACGGGATGGCTATTGCAAATCAAAACCTTGCACTAATGAAGGGATTTGTTGCGTTTGATCGGATGACTTAGCCATGACTTGAGGTGTATCCGGTGCGGTAAGTAAATTGGGTAGGTATCCAAAACAGAAGCGGTAGTACGTGCAGAATTTTTGGTCCTTATGTGGCGGTTTAAACTAAATTAGTTTTATTTACACAATCGGACAGCATTGAATGAATCAGTCGCTTGGTTTTGAAGATGCTACGAACATGGTTGTAAACTGTGATGCATCACGCTGAGTGGGCTGCAATGAAATAAATTTATCGCTTGCCAGTTATCCATGAGATGAAAGGACGTGCAAATCCTGTGGCTTGGCAAGAAACGCTCATCCATGAGATGAAAGGAGGTGTAAATCCTGCGGCTTGGCAAGAAACGCTCATCCATGAGATGAAAGGACGTGCAAATCCTGCGGCTTGGCAAGAAACGCTCATCTATGAGATGAAAGGACGTGCAAATCCTGTGGCTTGGCAAGAAACGCTCATCTATGAGATGAAAGAGGTTAACGCCTGTTCTAAAAGTACAATCTATATTATTTATTAGGCTTGTCCTGCTGTCTTTGCCTCATTGCCACGTCTATTCTACTTTCCTGCTCGCTAATCCACTCCTTACTCATGTTAAGTCGGGCAATGCACTTCTTATACACCTTCACGCCCAGGTGATCACCTAAAATCGTGCTCATATTCCGAGCAATAAAATTTTTGAGGAACTCAGGATCATAATCAATCGTTTTTTGCACCGTGTAATTACCGATAGGATGAAGAAACAGGTTCAAAGCATTCCGTTCCAACGATGCAATGATGTTTTGTTTGCTCTCCTTTGTTAATTTCTTCACGTTCAGCAGTGCCTGCACGCTGTACGCACCATATTTAGTCGAACAGATGTATGCCATGTCTTCGCCAAGCACCCGTATTAACCTGGTGATCTGATCCGCTCTCATACCTCGTATCATTTCCTGTGCCGTGATGTTGGTGTGCATACCTACTGCGATTTTCTTGCACTCCGAAATGAAAATGGCCTGCTGGTCCCTTCTGCTCATGCATCGGAACTTCTTAATGTCGGTCAAAGTGTAATTGTTGTACAGCGAAGAAAAGTACCTGACTCGCTCTTCGAAATGGTGGGCCGGAATTGCTGATCCGATGAATTGCGAACCGCTGTTTGTTCCATCACCATGGGCAGAAAAGTTCTGAATGGTGTTGAAGTACCTACCAAAACCATTTTCAGCTGCATTACTAGGTTTTGTTGCCTCACATCTAACGCAGGACACGGACATACGATCAGCACTGTCACAAAACTTATCACCGTTGTTACCCGTCCTACCAACCCTATAAAGTACCTCTGATGCGCTTGAATCTCGTTCTTTTCCACCGTTATAATGGCAATCCATCACCGACATATTTTTTGCCTTGTTTATTTCTATACTGTGAGCTGCCCGTCCCTGTTCGTACGAATCAAGAGAAAACTTTTCTTGACGAACGGATGGACATTCTTCGGCCCACGAGGAATGTATGTCGCCATTCGTATTAAATCTAAAATTGTTCTCGCGTTCAGCTCGTTTCATGGTCTTCCATATTTGATCGTCATAGAACAAAAAATTGAAATTTCTCCGCAGAGAAACGAACCTCAGCCTGTGAACGGTACTGTATTGCCTGTAAAAATCGATGGCTTTTCCCACACTCCAAAATGTCACGGCTATTCTGCTGCCCTGTGCACAGAAATTCATAACACGAATATCGTTACTGAGACTATGGACCAAGAACTCAGCGGTTGCAGACCTGCACCGACTGCCAATCGATTGTGGACCGCCAGGTGTAAGACATTTTTGCTGATTCGCCGTGTTTGCACCGTTGTAATTTGCACGGACACCATGATCTATTGCACCTGCATCATCGTGAAAGTGCGGCTGCCACTCGCAATCAGTTTTTTGCATTTTATGATGAAAAGGCCTTTGATCCAAAATCGCTTCGCTTTCTGGAAAGGCATGCGCCTCGTTTTTTTGATCAGAAGACTGGGAAGTACTCGAATACACGCGCGAAAAACCGTGTACAGGAAACGAACCGGCATCCTCACCGAAATATAAAGAACAATTCTTCTTTTTGGTTCTCTTTATTTCTCCGTTTTTGCAGATTGTCAAGTCGAACTCGTTCGTTCGTTGCATGCATGCTAAATCAAAACAGCGATAGTCTCTATCCATCGGTGCATTCTCCTGTTCACCCAAGAGACTGAGATACTTCCGGTACTCCCGTTCATTTTTTAGTTCCAGGTGTGCATTCTCCTGTTCACCCAAGAGACTGAGATACTTCCGGTACTCCCGTTCATTTTTTAGTTCCAGGTGTGCATTCTCCTGTTCACCCAAGAGACTGAGATTACTTCCGGGTACTTCCCGTTCATTTTTTTAG